AAAAAAAAAAAAAAAAATCAATCTATGAGACAATTTTCTGCAAACCCACCTCGAACCCTAGGAACACTAAAAATATACTTGATCTGCATTATCATATAAATTTAGATTAACCACAAAAAACCCACCTGCTGAGATGCTTGAATATTTCCAACTGACATTGGAGCAGGTAAATTGCCAAAGTTTCCAAATTGAGAACTCTGAAGATTCTTTTCATCAAAATAGTGTCCAGAAGCTCTGTTAAGAGGATTTGAGAAATTCTGGTTCCCAGGGCCATGTGGTCCATTAAAATTTGGTCCTTGAGGTGAATCAAATATTTGTTCATGTCTCTGGAACTGCAGTCCTTGGGTCGGGGTATTAAAAGCACTGCCAGGTGACTCATTGTATGGACCAGTCTGATTAAAAGGGGCTGACTCAAGCCTCTGTGAAGGATGATTGTCAAATCGTGTGCCTTGTAGACCAAGAGGAATATCAAACCTTGATGCTTGCTGGTGTTGTGGACCATCAAATCTTTGAGGTATACCATCAAATCTTGGCTGAACTTGCTGTCCAGGAGGTCCATCAAACCTCTGAGGGCCTGGTTGACCAGTTCTTTCAAATCTAGGACCAGGCTGGCCATGTAACCCATCAAATCTTGGCAAGAGTGACGGCTGACCTGGCTGCCCATCAAACCTTAAAGCATGGCACCCTTCAAATCTTGGACCACCTTGACCCAGAGGCCCTTCAATTCTCAGGCCGCCTCCTGGTACTGGCCCCTCAAACCTCATTCCACCTCCTTGTTGTACCAGAGGTCCTTCAAACCTGATGCCAACACCTGGCTGGCCATGGGGACCCTCAAACCTCAGGTTCCCACCAAGCTGATTATGTTGTCCTTCAAATCTCAGACCACCTACTGACTGACCATGAGGGCCCTCAAACCTCATCCCAACTCCTTGCTGTAGCAAAGGTCCCTCAAATCTGATCCCACCTCCTGGTTGACCATGAGGTCCATCAAACCTAATTGCAGCCCCTGATGGACCATGACCTCCCTCAAATCTAAGAGCACCTACAGGCTGACCACGGGGATTATCAAATCTAAGACCGCCCACAGGCTGACCATGAGGTCCCTCAAACCTCAGACCACCCACAGGTTGACCACGATGTCCTTCAAACCTGAGACCACCAACAGGCTGACCCCCTGGTCCTTCAAATCGCAAACCACCTGCAGATCCCTCAAACCTCATACCAGGAGAACCTTCAAACCGAAAACCACCTCCTGCTTGACCAATTGGTCCCTCAAAACGCAGAGGCGTTCCTACTGGTCCTGGAGGACCTTCAAATCGCATAGGACACCCGCCTCCTAGCTGACCTTGTGGTCCTTCAAACCTCAGAGGGCCTCCTCCCCCCATCTGGCCAGGTGACCCATCAAACCGAAGAGAACCTGGTGTAGGAGGTCCATCAATTCTGGGGCTTAATTTATTAGGTCCTTCAAAAATCATCTTGGCTGGGCCCTCTCTTGACACCGACGGCCTACTAGGCCCATCAAATAATGGTCTGTCTTCAGCCAAAGCCGTAAGTCGTTGATTTGTATCAAGGCCAGCAAATCTTGATGCTGGGCTATCTACAAATGGTTTATCTGAATCTTCATATCTAGGTCGCTTAAGTGGAAAGCGATCATTGAACGGAGATCTCTGCTCTTCTCTTACACCTTTTAAGAGAAAAATATATTTTCACTAAATTTGAGTTTATATCAAATTATCTTAAAGACTATATTCAGCTAAATGTTTACCACAGTTAAAAACTATCTCACTATATTAGAAGGGAAGAAAAAGACAGAGAGCACTACTCAATAGATAGGAAGATGCCCACTAGAATCAGACACATCTAGGTTTAAAAAAAAATTCCCCATCCTATCCCTATCAACTTAATGTTTGAGAGCAAGTTATTTAACTTCTCTGGCTTTGTTTCTGATCTGTAAAATGAGGTATATATTTAATTGGGTACAAATTAAATAAAATCACATCTATATATATATATAAAAAAAAAAAAAACCAACTAGTGAAGTCCTTGAAAAGTCACTGTCCTTATGGTAGCTCCCTTCTCTTTCCAGAGGGAAAAATGAAACAGAACTAAACAAACATGAAGCAAACAAAAGTAGTCTGAACAGTGATGAAATCCATCCCCACTTAGCTTTTCACTTTCCCTTCACTTCTGTGATTCAATAGGCATAATCTAATTTAACTTTTTCTACCTTTAGCAGAGACTTGCTCGTCATGTCTTCTCCGGCCCTCATGGGGTGAAAGATTCTCAGCATAAGTACGACTCCCAGATATAGGAGAAAGACGTCTTGCTCTTTCACTAAATTGTTCTTTTCTGTCAAACTGTGCTCCACTAGTCCTACTGGCATGTTTACTTTTGGATGGCTCACATTCTATTCCAGACAACAAGGCATCGGTCAAAGGGTAGTCAAAAATATCAGGATCTAAAAGATCAAGTCTTGGAAATGAATGCTGAACCTGGGTCCTTTTCAGTTTTGCTTTATGTTCATAGTAGGTTAATTCAGCATCAGATAAGAGAGGTTTCTTTCTCAATCCACCTGCATGTTCTTCTGTAGGGCTATCCCGCACCGTGCACCTATGTTTACCTTCTTGGTACTGAAATAGCTGGCGAATTTGATGCACAACCACCAGGAACTCATCCTGTGTGATCTCGCCGGACGCTAGACGCTCGCTCGCCTGCACGGGCAACAGCAGAAAATTGCAGATATTCAGTATGAGAAGGACGTACAAAGAAAGACAAGAGACAGCAGTGACCACGGGCAATGCCAAAGGTAAACTACCTTTTGAAGTAACTCTCTTTTGCTTGCAACTGTCAACTCTTTCGGAATCTGCAGGTTGGCATCTACACTGAGCCGATGCTGCTGCTTGGGGGCCCGAGGTGACAAGATTCCTTTGGCGCTTGACCAGCTGTCCCTATGCCTGAGGTGAGGCGATTTACTATGCTCGTCCCCCTGCTGTAAACTGAAACCACAAATGCACTACATTATTTTCAAAATGTCCTTTTGTAAGTTCTCAAGACCGTATTTAAAAATCCTTTTCAAAAGGGATCTTTTAAAGTAGATATAACCAACCATGAAAAGGAAACACACAAAAAAAAGGAAACCAGGTATGAATTCTAATTTGTCCATGACATGGACTGCAGCCTTGGTAGGTTAGTAAACCTTTGTAAACTTCAGTTTTCTTATTTGTAAAAGAGGAATAATGGTATTCAACCTACAAGGTTCTAAGAATTAGATGGAAAAACAAGTAATTATAAAACCCAAATAAAGATTTCCTCATTTTAAAATTAACACTATCTTTAAAATTATACACCTTACTGGACTTGAACAAGTATGTTAACATCGTACCTTTTATTTTCTTCCCAACCAGATTTCCATCTTTTGGTGGACTTAGAACTTGGCCAATTTTCTATGTTCTCCTTTGGTTCAGTGCCTGATTTCACAGAATGCTGATTTGCACTCTCTAGTGGTCGTTCCTCTTCCACCTTTTTCATTCGTCTTGGATCTCGCATATCCTGTTTAGTGCTTCTCTTCGCGTTTCTTTCTTCCCTGGAAGGCGGTGTAAACTCTTCCATATGTGACTGTTTAATTCCTGATTGGCGCATCTTCCCAGCTTTGGGTATCAAAGTTGGAGACAGACTTCTCTGCCTGCGTTTGGGTGACCGCCTATCTCTCCGCTTTGGGGAATGTATAATTGGTGACCGAGACTTGGGTGATCTCGACCTTGAACGTTTTCTAGTGCTTGATCTCCCAGGTTTTGTTCCCTGCTTCTCCGATTCTTCTGTTATTGTATCCTGCTTTTGCACAACACCATTTATGATTTTATTTCTACTTCCAATCAGTCTGTGCTCAGAGGACTTCATGTGCTCATCTTTATCCTTTTTTTCTGCAGTTTTTCTCTTTTCTTTTATGTCCTCATCTTTACCATCAGTCTTATCCTGAAGATGTTTTTTCAGTCTTGGATCTCTCTTGTTCATATCAGACAACCTCACACTCTCAGATTCTTGACCTTTCAAGTCCTTTGTGTGGGACAATTTGTTTTTCAAAGGTGATGGAGATTTAGATTTAGATTTAGATTTAGAATCTAATTGGTCAAATTCTTTCTTGATTACTTTTTCACCGGATTTACTTTTTTCTTGCTTGGATGAGTTTAGCTTTTCAGAGGGAGCAGCTTTACTTGTCTTAATATCAGACTGATTCAACGTGTTCATTAGAAATTCTTTTCTGTGACTTTGATCTTTTCCATGAGAAGAATGTTGGCTCATCCTGTTAAGACGGGGATCTCGATTAGTTCCTTTCAAATCCTGAATCTGTAAAGATGGACCTGGGCGGTTTTTCTCAGGCGGAACAGGAACTTGATGGGGAGCTTTAACTGCCATAGCAGGAATCTGCGTTAATTTGGATGGTGCAGATCCAGGACCCAAGCTGGAGGTCTCAGGCTGAACACCAAGAGAAACAGCCTAAAATAAAACATAGATGTTACTTTAATACTATAAAACATACAGATCATCTCCATCGCTTGACATTATACAGAATACAATAAAGAATATAGCCAGGCATGGTGGTACACGCCTGTAATCCCAGCATTGTGGAGGCTAAGGCAAGAGGATCACTATGAGTTCAAGGGCAACCTAAGCTACAAAGTGAGTTTAAGGCCAGCCTGAACTGCATAGTGAAACCCTTTCTCCAGAAAAACCGACTGACCGACCGATCAAACAAGCAAGCAAAGCTGTACTGAATAAATTTCTTCACTAAATACTGTATATATACCAACATTTCCAGTACACAAGCATAACACAAAGAAAGTGTTTAAATGGTTGCTGACTTCTCATTAGTCTTGTCGTTTTTCTTTCAAATTATCTCTCGATAGAACTGGGGGCGGGGGGACTTTCTTCCTAATTATGCATTCAAGAGTCTACACTGGACTGCACAGAAGAAACCGCTACATACCTACCCTTTAGCTGCAGTGCACAAGAGGTGGTCATTCTGGTTCAATTCTATCATGAAATGTAGTTTCTCCCAAACAGCACTGTCAATAAACTCGTAAAATCCTGTCTTCCTCTACCTCCTGACTCTCAAGCCCATGCAGTAAGAATAATTTAATATAAAGTTATACATAAAAACATGTGCTTGGGGCCGGGAGATGGCTCAGTAGAATAAGCGCTTTCCTGGCAAGTTCAAGGGCCGGAGTTCAATCCCCGGTTCCGCAAAAAAAAACAAAACATGTGCTTATGCCTCCAGGTCTTAAAATTTTTCATGGTTTTCCTTTTGCAAACTTCTAGGTACACCTCCTTGGTTCATTATATCAAATACAGTAAAAACATTCGTCACAACAAAACTATCACCTGGGGCCTTAAGTATTAAGTCCACATGAACATAGTTAAGTGAAACGAAGATGCTACCTCATAAGATAGCTATCTAATGAGAAATGTTTGGAAGAAATATTTTGTACAATATATAATCAAATGAGCTTTACAATAAAGGTAGAAAACCTTGGTCTAATAAATATGGTTCACAGCCTAAAAGAAAAGTTATCAATAAAATAGCATGTTAATATAATTCAAATACAAAATACTTCTTTGTGTAAGACAGATTTAAAATCTCTACCACTTACCAGTTGTGCCTTAGCTTGCTCTAGCTCCAACTCCAGCTTTTTCTGCTGAAGTTCTAACAACTGTTTCTGTTTTGCCAGTAACTGCTGCCTTATTAGCTGTTCTTGGGTAAGATTCTTCTGTATATCGGGAACAATTGGGGGAGTGGAGATGCTGGGGGAACTGACCACTGTGCCAGGTGTTGAAGGCTCCTCAGGCTACAAGAAAAAATACCTTTTATCAAGAATACATTATAAAAAATTTTAAAAAGAATATATTATAGCTTAAAAGGAAGCTAAGGGCTAAGATTATTGGCTTAATTTATATCATCCAGTCATAAACAGCCAATCATGTTTAAAAAGCACACAAAAAACTTTTCAGGAATTTAAAACCCCAAAAAAGTTTTAAGAAAAAAATACGATGAATATATTCTTAAATTAAAATCTTAAATATATATACTTTTATTTTTTCAAGCCAATCTGAGAGCTTTTTGCATTCTGGCAAGAAATTTTAAAGCAGTTAAAATGAATTAAACACGTATTTATACAATGTTCGTATTAAAACTTACCGACTTATTTAAAAATTTGGGATTCACATGGATGCTAGACGTATTCACATTGGGGGGTAGAGGTTTAATAGGCCAAGCAGGGTCTAACGAATTGACTCTGACATCCAGGGCATAAAGTTTCTTCAAAGGGAATATTTCATCCCATGTAGAACGTAATTTAAATAAACTTTTTCTAGTATTTTCATCCACCTAGAACAACAGAACAGTTCTATGGCTTGTTAAGTTACTATAAAATGTTTTATATAAGTGTAGAGCTACATAAATCCGTTCTACTTCACATACATTAGAACTACACTGACCATTTGCAAATATATAGAACAGTGATAATTCATTAAGAGTACTTAAATATGTTAACAAATTTACCCTTAAAAATTTTAGAAGAAAAAAAAAATTTTAGAAAATCTTAATTATTACCTATCCTTCAAGCCAGAAATTAGGCAAGTCTTTGAATTTTAAAAGTAAAAAAAAGTCTCCATATTTTAGGGCTTTTTAACTTTTAAGTAGTTATTTTTAATATTACTATCATTCTGGACAAAAATATAAACTACAGAATGGCTCACCTGATTGCTTTTTAATCTCATAGTTGTACAGAGTTAAAATTAGGACAAAAATGTAATATATGGTTAATAACCACGGAAAACTATGGTATGGAGGCATCCTAGAATTTAAATTCACAAAACCTTAACCACTAAAAAGCTTTAGTTATCAAACTTATCTGCTCATATTTGTGATGGGCATAACAGTTTTGCTTTTTCTTTTTAAGAGACCTCTACTACTGGGCAAAACAATTTTTACCTTTAGGACAATGATGTTTTACCTGTATTTGTGTCTTTAGCTAATATACTATGTCACTTTTACCAACTGCAGCTAATAACCCATCTGCAATATTACAGATGTAACTGACAACCCATCTGAACACAGGGCAACAGCCAGCTCAAGTGCTCCCAAACTCCTTACTGCAAAATTGGCCTCTCCTTCAGACCGACTCAGGTAAGCAGCAGCAAAGATCTACAAATGCACTGACACTACTTTTTAATGCTATCTAAAATAATGTTTCCCAAGCGCAAGGGCCTGAGTTCAATCCCTGATTCTACCAGAAAAATAAAATAATGCTTCCCAAAGCATTCTAACAACTCAAGTAGCAACTATACACTTTCTAGTAAGTAAAATCTATTATTGAATAGTATCCTTTAAAAAAAAATTCCAATTCTACAAATCTGACAACTGACTTATACAGACACAAGTGTACTCACTAAAATATAAGAAGTATACCACTTACTAAGAAACAAGCTTTTAAACCCAGGCTTCCTGGTAAGTGTCCTTTTGCTCAGTGTGAAAAGTAAAGTCTAAAAGGCAGACAGCTACCTCAACAAATTCCTAAACATCAACACTAGTGCCCAACTACCAGATACAATGTTACAAGAATTTCAATCTCTAGCTTTGGAAACTAAGCAGCTTTCTTCTAACCACAAAGAAAGGAAAATAAATATTTCTAAAATAATCTGAGCCAATTAACTGGTCCACCATCTGCCCACCTGCAACACTGGCTTAAACCCTGAACAAAGAAAGAAAAAAGAAAGCTGGGGGTTCAAGGTTTCAATAATCACAGATTGATACAAACTGGAGGATTATGCTTTTCTTCAGAACAGTAGAAATTTAAACAAAATGTTAAGCACTGAGTTTTATATCTTTTTGTCCATACTTTAGGGATGAAACATCTACAGATGACCAATGCTGTTTGTCTAAAAGCACAATTCTAAAAGTGAATTAAAGTATACTGTATTCTTGAGTAATATAAAATCTTAAATCTGTCTTAAAGGTGGAACACAAACATTCTGCCAACTTTCTTTAAAACACTGCTTGAAAATAAATGTCCAAGAAAGTAAAATATTTCACCACCCAAGAAAACCCAACACAAGTCAAGTATTTATTTAATTGGGAACATTTTTTTAAAAAGCAATTATGTCTAAATGCATATATACCTTTTCAAACACACAAATAAATGTTGCAACTAGATTTTTAGTAAAGGCAGTGAGATACTCTCGTCCAACGTTTTTCACAATGGAATCCATAAGGTACATAACCGGAAGTTTCTCTGAGGAAGGAGCCTAAGATAATAAAAAGAAACTGAGAAGTTTAGTATACAATGAATTACCACCACAGAATTAAAAAGTTTTTAAGTTCATAATACAGACCTCTATATTTGTTCGTACTAAGGACGTTTGAATTATTATGAAGCATACATGCGTTTATCAAACTTAAGTGTTCAGTCTCTTAAAATGGTCATTAGTTGAGCACAAAAAGTTTCAGACTATCAGGAAAAAAAAAAACACACTAGGAATTCATTTGAGACTCTGGAATTTCAGGTACAAATGATTAAGAAAAAAAGCAGCTTTAAGTGACAATAAAAAGAAAACTACTGTAACCTAAGTGTCAGCTTCTAGACCCACACTAACTTACAATGTACCTACACTCAAAAGAAATCCTAATTACCAAGGCATATTTCATGTTAAAATCTCTGAAGCTTTTGTTACCTGTAAAATTAGTTCTCTAGAGTCCAAATGAGCAAAAATTAAATACACTTCATGGAGGAAATCAATGTCAAGACTTAAAACTTGCACAAGAACATGCAGGAAAGTGCAAGTTTGTTACTGATACAAGAAAAACTGGATGGAGCAGTCGCTGAGTCACATAAACCAGGTTGAACTTGACTCTGGAAACATGGATTTGTCCTGAAGATTGTCTTCACAGCACGGACTCTCCGCCGAAATAATTCTCCTCTGATAGGCACAAACCAGAGGCCTAAATCTGTGCAGAGCCACTGCAGGGAGGCTGGCAAAGGCAGCCCTTCCAATGTAATGGTGCCCAGTCCAGCGGCAGCGCCTGCCCACCACTGGCTCTTAGAAGGCACAGGAAGCTTCCAGAAAGCCTCAGCAGGTTCACAGACTTGTCGAGGAGCATTAACACACACCATATACACTGTTAACTCTGACTCCACAGGAGCATACAAGGTTTAAAAAAAAAAAAAAAAGCAGAAACTGGGGTTTCCCGCTTGACCCACCCATTGTGTACAGAATCTTCACCCTGACCACCACTTACCCACAGCTACCTGGAGCTAGGCCACCCTCAGCTCTGGAGAATACAATTCCACCATACTTCCCAAAACCAAGGGCCTGCACCAAGTGTGTGGAAATGCTCTCGCTTCTGGGAACCCCTTTACAACCAGTGGGTAAGAAAACCTTTGAATAACTATATGAAAAGTATTTTAGGGTGCAACCCAATAAAAGGACTCACAAGGCCACACTGCATGTGGGTGAACTAGTAAGTGCCTACATGTCAGTGCTACATTGCTGGGTCTTTACCTTACAATGTCTTGTTTCATACCAGTCAAGTGCATTATTGTATTTAGGAAGATAAGCAGGCTTTCAACGCCAGGCCCTGTTCAGTAAGCTAGTTTGCTAGTTTTTGTATTGTACAAGTGGAGGCTTTAGACGTTAAGTTCTTTTTCCCTATAGCTCTTTTATGGGTAGGGGTCAAGTTAGGTGTGAACCCATAAGTTTAGTAAGGCTGAACTGATCAAGAATAAAGACACAAGCATTCACCTCCAAAAACACAACACCAAGCCAGTCTGCTACCAAATGAGGGAAGGCCTCCCCTCACCCTCACCGCCCCCAAGAGACCCCCAAGTGACTTTTACATCTTTCCCTCAGTCTTGCTTTACAAACGTAACCAGGGAACTTGTGCCCCAAAAATTTCCAGTTTTTTACCAGCAAATAGTCATCCTACTTTCACCACAATGTGTAGCGAACACTAATACAACTTTTATGTGGTCCCTACATTCCGCCTTGTTTTCAGCTCTCGAAGATCTTCTCCCACAAGGATACTGTTCTGTGAGTACCCAAGCTACTATTAGGTGCTGTGGAGTAGTAATAATACCCAAGATAGGAGGTAATTAGATTTTAAAAAGTAATGTTCTCTTAAAAATGGAAGTGCTGTTTTAAGGCATTGACTTTCAAGCCATCAGTAAGGCAAAAATTAAGTTTTCACGTCCAACATGTTTGTGGGGGGATAAAAAGAATGTTGCATATGAGAAACACTTCCTTTCTCAAGCTCTTACTTTAGAAAAAATAGCTGTTTTACAGACATTCAAAGGTGAATACTTGTAATTTTAACTGTCAAAATGAACGCAATAAATCGAGCCATCAAAAAAATAAAACCTTGCTTTTTTTGCCTTTAAAGTATGAAAGGACCACCTGCAACCGTGTATCTTGTGAACAGATTACCCAAAAAAGTGGATGGAACCTAAAGAAGAATGAACCCAAGTCACTTAAAGACTTTTGTTTAAAACACACAACCACGTAGATAAAAATAAATCTTGGAAACAAATTCTACACCTTACAAAGGTAAATAAAAAAGACAAATACATATTTTATATGTTTTATTCACAAATTTTATAATACCAGTCACACATTTCAAAACCATTTATTAGAGTCAGACCACTCAGTTTTTACACTAGACAGAAACCGTCTCTAAACAATGTATTGGTGGTTGTTGTTAAAGTGGCCTTTAAAAGGGGTTCACTCTGCTAAAAGCAGGCTCATCCTCACCACTGCAATCACTAACTAGAAAAAACTGAGCCATAAGTACAAGATGGAAAAAGTAACTTAAAACGGAGCACTGGGAAGCCATTAAAAACTCATGGTTACTAAGTTTAACAGTGACTTTACGTAGATGACATGTCACTCCCACCATGAATCCACAGAAGAGGAAGCCTGCAGGGAAGCGCGAGTGGCAGAGGGCCACTTCCGGGAAGGGGCCGGGAAAGCGCGCCCTCGCTAGCCGGGAAGGGACCGAGGCGGCGGCGCGGCCGGCCGAGCGCGCAGAGAGGC